TGAATTCCACTCTACTCCAAGTACCTAAATGTTCAAAGATCTTGGTCCAGTAAACTAAAAAAGTTCCGGATTCTAGACATGATAGGGTTGTGGGTATGAGGTTCTGGAGGGTCACAGGATAGGATAAAAACAGATGTGCTCCAGCGCTCTCTGATTTTCTATAATCCCTCTAACTAAACAGTGTGTTGGTGGAGAAATCTAACAACGTTTATCAAATAAATGAACTTGTTATGTAACGACACCTTTGTATGGATTCTAGGTGTTTGGAGATAATCGTCACGATGTCCAAAACTATGTACTTTACTTATCGGCAAGGCGTATCTACTACCTAACCACTACCTACCTAACCTACCTACTGTGCTACCGACGCACAGTGATTAGGACACTCGCCGACCATGTACATGGTCCTGGGTTTTGATCCTCGGCCAACGGACGCACTCTTTACCACCTTGCTCACTAAGCCAGTAACAAAAGCAGGTGAAGAGGAAAGGTCGGGCATGAGGCTAGCAACCCCACCCTGTAAAAATAAACACTGCTACAGAAACTTCAGGCCTCTCCCTTGAATAATAATAATTTGCTTTATTTCAGAAACAGTACTGGTGGTACAGTGTGGAATTTTCAGCACATATCTAATATATTTGCATCTAATTTTACCAACATTTAAAAGAAGTATTTACAAAAAAAATAAATCTACAGACACCAACAGCGAAAAAGACACAAAAAACACAAAAATAATTTTTTAAAATGCGAAAAAATACTAAGAAGTAGAAAGGAAAATAAATAACATTAAATAATATCTCAGTATTGGGTAGTGGAAGCTATGATATGATTATGCATGGTGACAGTAAAGCTATAGTCATACAAGAAGTTATGAAATGATATTTAAGAATGTTTATCGCCAAGATGATCAGTTAACTTGATTGAAACAACACTTAACAATCATAAAATAACATTTCAGGGTTGTTGTTTTGTTTTTCATTGTCAGGTCTAATGCAGTGTTTGTAGTGGTAGTGAGAGCAATCCTGCATAATGCAAAATTTTAAGATGGCGACAATGGCGTTCACAACCAATGATTGTCAGTTAATATTGACGAAAAAAAAAGAAAAAACAACCACAAAACTAATAATTACATGATGGTTAATGACAGGACAATTTTGTACTACTCATAGTGCTAATATAGTCGGAACCAGTAGATAATCAAAAGAAGGAATACAGTAAAGTACAAAAAGGTAAGCCAATGTTAATAATTTAGGTAGCTAAGTATGTTCAAGAAGGAGTTCACTATAGAATACAAAATAAAAGAGAAATAAAAGAGCCTAAAATTATGTTATTAACAACAAAGCAAGTCATAGGTTTCACGCTTAACATTGTCTCTGTCACTTAGAACACGGGCCAAGTATGGTATCGTTGAGTTCCTGTACTTGGTTGTACGAGCATAGATTATTTTATACTGATTTCTGGTTCTACTTGATGAGATACAAGGCGAGAGTTGGGAATAGAGGGGGTGTTGGGGGTCGGAGAGTATGGTTTTAGACCATTTTTTGCATGTATTCAGATGCCTTTCAACTAATGTAGTGACGAGCTGACTGAGTTTCTATGTTCCACTGGGGGAACGTGAATGAATAAAAAAGGAGAATCCCTATGGAGATATCTTTATAATGTTTCCAGATTTATATATGTATATATATATATATATATATATTCATATTCAATACTATCCACGTAACATGTAGATGCAACTCTCAACAAAGATTCAAGAGGACATTTATTGCTAATTTCGGAAACGTCATAATTTAACTACAAGCATAGTCCACTTACCATCTTATTACTGAATATCATTGTCGATCCAGACAAATTCACCGGTGATAGGTGAAAAATATATCTTCGATAAACAGACATCAAATGAATTCAGGGGGGGCGAAATTTAGATCAAAACAACAACAACTAAAAATGAGGGTTTCCTTTTCATACAATCGGCCGGAAGTACTAGACATTTATGTCATAAATTTAACATGGAACGTAGACAATCCTGTACATTACTAAATCTACCCTCCTATTGAAAAGAATCTTAAATGTTATCAAACTGTAGAATGGATTTGCCATATATTATTATTATTATTATTGTGTCCTTTAATTCCTACAGGAACATAGGGCTTCAGCCGTGCGTCTCCATTGCGTTCGGTTCTCTGCTAGAGTCTTCACCTGGCTCCAAGTCTGCCTACACGCTTTCATCTCCTCTTCACATGACCTCCTCCAAGTCACCCACCCTCGCACTGACGACCAACTCGCCGCTTCCCATTCCGTCGGGTTCCACTCGAGTAATGGCTTGTCTAGTGATGTCACTTGATGGTTTCCTCAGAGTATGGCCACCAGTCCACCTCCATTTCTTCCTGCCCATTTGTTTCACAATCGGTTCCTGCTGTGTTGGTTCGCTCATTGCCAGAGATCCCTCCCTGTTGCTTATCTTTTCTGACCAGCCATCTGATCTTGAGTACTATTTAGCGAAGACAACTGTTAATGAAGGTCTGTAGTTTGTTTGAGATGCTCTTTATGACGAGGCGCCAAGTCTCTGATTCATACAACAAGTAGCACTGACTTCACATTGGAGTTGAAAATCCGGATGTTATTTTTGATGCTGAGTGCTGTTGACCTCCACACAGACTTGAGAGTAGTGAAAGCTTGTCTTGGTTTTTGTAGGGATTTTGCTTGTTTGGTCGGAGAATTTCATTGTGAACTGACATCAGTTAGAGAACCATTGAAGAACCACCAGGCAGGGAGTACTGCCAGACACCTGATTCGCCAACCTAGTTTGGGACTCTTCAGCAGTACATACCCACCGCCACGGTTCGAACCTACCACCTTCTGGTTACAAGGCTAGCGAGCTCGTAGACCATTCATTAGCCACTGGGACCCGACACCTCAGTGGCCAGCCCATACCCTGGTAGCCGGTGCGTGCTGCTCAAGAGTCCCAAACAAGACCGACGAAACAGCTGTCTGGCGGTGCTCCTTGCCTGGTGGTTTTCCAATAGTACTCTAACTAATGTCAGCTCATGCTGAAATCCTCCAACCTATCAAACAAAATCTCTATAAAAATCAATACTTGAGAAACAGGAATTATCAAATGCTGATTTCCAAGGATTCAACTGGTCACAGGTCTGAGCACGAGCAGACATTCGTTAGAGAACCATGGGAAAATCCGCTGTTGCGGTTTAGTTTTGGATTCTTCAGAGGTACGTACCTGCCGGGTTTGGAACCCAGGACCTACTGGTGACAAGGTAAAGCGCATCAACACTGAATATAATATGAGTAAACTCAGATGACGAGCCCGGGAATGAGACGAAGCACTTGTCAGTCACTTCAAGTAATATCAAAGCGAATATGAAATGTAAGGTCAGCAGATTTGAATCATTTCGGAAATACGAACAAGTCAGGAGATAATATTAACAATTACGCAGGCAGGCGCATAGGGAAATACCTGTCAAAATGGAAACCATGTCAGCTCATGATGAAATTCTGTAACCACTCAAATCCCTAAAAACCAACACTATAATAACAATGAGATGCTCACTAGCGACTTGCCGTATTCAGGTAGGTAATTACCTGGGGTTCTAGTGAGAAGTCGTGACCAGTAGGGTGCAGCAGGTCGGGTGTAAGAACAAATACTCGCCGAAGACATTGGCTAGGGGTCGCGCTATGCCGTGAATTGGCAGAAATTAGAATTTACGGGCCATTAGATCGGGTTGCAGTGGCTTAATGGTGTACCAGCTCGCCTTGTAACCAGAAGGTCGTGGGTTCGTATCCCAGTGGGTACGTACTGATGAAGAATCCCAAACTAGGATGGGCTGTCCAGTACTCCCTGGTAGGTTTTCCAATGGTTCTCTAACTAATGTCAGCTCATGATGAAATTTTGTAAACAATCAAATCCCTACAAACCAACACTTGAATTTTCTTATTCTTTTGCGTCCCAAGTGTAACTTAAACTATGAACAAGCATTTTTTATTGGTTACAGGATTTCAGCATGGGCTGACACCTGTTACAGAACCATTGGAAAACCTGTAAGTGCTGGACAACTGTTTCGTCTTGGTTTCAAACTCTTCATTAGCATGCACCGACCAGGATTCGAACCCAGGTCCTTCTGGTTCCAGGATGGGGTTGCTAACCTTTTTACTTGGCGGCTTAGTGCCAGCTAAGAGAGGTTTAGAAGTGTGTCCGTGATTCGAGGATTGAATTTCGGACCACGTAAGGATTGATTGCCAAGCGTATTACGGCTGGATTAAAAAATCTCCTAGAGGTTGCCTGTCATCGTAACGCATACACGGTTTTCGTACACAGCTTACAATGATCCGAAAGAATGACAAACACTCAGATTTTGAAATATCAACGAACAACCCAATAGATACGTTGGTTGGTCACAGGATTTCATCATGAGCTGACATTGGTTAGAGAACCACTGGAAAACCTGGGAGTCCCGGGCAGCTGTTTCACCCTAACTTGGGACTCTTCATCAGTACATGGTGGCTTAATTTTATGCGCGCTCATCTTGTAACCAGAAGGTCCTGGGTTAGAACCCCGGTGTGTGCGTAATACTGAAGGGTCCCAAACTAGGATGAAGCAGCTGACCAGTACTCCCAGGATTTCCAATGGTTCCCTAACGAATGTCAGCTCATGATGAAATCCTGTAATCAATCAACCAAATCCCTACAAATCAATACTTGAAGATACGTTGGCTTATTGGTGGAAACCTGGAGAAGAGAGAAGACACTTTACTGATGAAAATCTGTTTTATTCTGTGCATACATAATCAATAAATCAAAGTTTAAAAAAAAATACGAATGAAATCAAAAAGTAATAAAAGAAAATTTGATGACACTGGGATCTAGTCTTTTCTTGAGGGATGAGGGTTTTTAGGAAAAAGTGGGGAAATTCACTCTGCCTTCCGGGGGATATCACATTGCGGCACAAGACGTCTGAGGCATTGAAGGGTGGGTGAAGAAGGGATTTATTCATCAATGATTGTCAGCTGAATTGTTTGATTCTGTCGAAATAGCTCTTGCATCTGATCAATATCTAATTGTCTGCAATCGATTCCATTCACTTGGATAATTTCATCACCAATACGCAGTGGACTTGAATTGTTTAGAATTAATCGTACCGTTAAACGTGTTACACGATAACCTGAAATTCAAAAAAGAAAAAATTGGAACATATAGAATGCATGGTTCATAGAATAAATGAAATGCAACAAGATGATCGAGATTGTGTGGATTTTGATCTTTTTCACTGTATTTAATAGGTGGATAGTGACTAGCAGTGGAATCCAGGATGCGCATTTCGTCCTATTTGGGACTCGTCAGCTAACTGGATGCACCTGCATTCCTCAGTGAGTGATGATGTTCCCACCGAGGCTCGAACCCAGCGCCCATAGTTTCAAACGCCAAAGCGTTATCCACTAGACCACTTGGGCCACGAGAGCTGGCCACCTCTTGTGCAACGAGTCATATTGGTTCACTTTAGTTTGGGTCTATTTAGCTAGTCACACGTATGACTCCATCAGGGTTCGAACTCAGTACCGTCGGTTAGTCAATATCACCTCCTGTTCATTGATAACTACAGAAGAGGTTCCTTAGGTTCTGATGAGAAGTTGTGACCGGTACCGTCTGCCATATCAGGGGTAAAGCTGTCACCACCCATCAATACTTATGTTTAGTGGTGACGTTGTGTCTCGAGCTCATAGATGTTTGGATTCACAAATCATCACAATTTTAATTCCACAGAGAAATGTGAAATTTGAAGGTTCTGTATTCGATGCCTGGCGAGGTAGTCAGTGAACACTGTTGAATAGTCCCTGATTTGGAAGAAACAGCTGTCCGATACTTCAAGGTTTTCAATCATTCTCTAAATGATGTCGGTTCATGACGAAATATCAGCTGAAAGCTGGCGTTTTCCTGCCTCAATTAAATGAAACTAACTTCGTCAAATATGCTGATGATCGGACTGTATCACTGCCTATCACTTCCGAGTCTGACTGCTCCAAACTTAATAGCTTTCTGTTGGACACCAGCAAGTGGTCTAAGTCAAACGGTCTTATGTTAAATCCTTCCAAATGTCAGGCAGTTAACTTTACTTTCAAGCATCGACGTGACATACATGAACTAGTTAGTTCCCATGATGCCTGTAACATACATAGATGGCACTGAAATTGAAACCATGTCAAGCATTAAATACCTTGGATTAGTTCTTTCCTCTCTGACCTTTCATGGTCATCCCACATCTTATCAATCTCTAAGAAAAAGTTTCGTCTTACCTTCTACATTAAAAAGTTAAGACAATCAGGTATCAACCAACCTTTAGTTCTGCAATTTTTAAACTCCTGTATTTTACCTATTGTACTCTATTGTTCTCCATTAATCTTTCCTGAACTTTTTAAAAAAGACTATGTCATATTACGAAGGGTATTAAATGCTGTGAGTAGGGCTTGTGGTTTGCCACTGCGTGAGCTCTCCCATATTGTAGGCGAGAGACACATAAATTTCTGTACAAAATGGGCAAAGGCCGTACTGTCAGACCCCCTGCACTCCCCTTATTCACAACTATCCCCCTGTATTTTTATTTTTATATTTTGATTATGGCTTGATTCCACTCCGTATTTTTGGTACAAGTATGGAATTTTCAGCATGTGATATCGGTAGCCCAATTTTGCAGGCCGACCATTGATATCGGCTGTGCGTCGGGAGGGGATCGAACCCCGGACCATGTGCATGGTTGGCGGCAGTCCTAACCGCTGTGCCACTTATGCACAGGTAGGACGAGAAGTCAATATTAAAAGTTATATGCTCGAACCACTAAGTATAAAAATTCTACAATACCGTATTTAGCCCGTATTTTATGTGATGAAGACTCTGTTAGACGTGAAACATATAAGTTACTATGTAATCAGCATAGTGAATCGACCCTCTCATTGTTCATCTTTCTGTAATTCTATGGTGTCACCCTTTCTATCGTTTAATTATAACTTAGCTATTTTATTTTAGTTGTTATTACTATTATTACTATAATTTTATACTTTATGCATATTTTTCTCCGTATTGCATATAGTAATTTGCTACATAGCTGCTACAACAGCGTCTTTTTATTATTATTATTATTTGATTTTTTTGTCGTTTTGAGTAAATTAGATGCAATATTGTACTGAATGCTGAAAATTCTTTGCTGTATCATTAGTACTGTTTTTGGAATAAAGCAAAAATTATTATTATTATTATTATTAACATTCTTAAATAACAGTTGTTATGGAGAAATCGTGACCAGTGTGGTACAGCAGGTTGCGTGTAAGGACAAATACACTTCACCAATGACATTGGCCAGTCCTCGCGCTTTATCGTAAATTCAAAGAATTTAGAATCCATGGGCTGGCCATTGGAGTGGATCCCAGTAGCCTAATGGTCTACGAACTCGCCTTGTAACCGGGAGGGGGGGGGGTACTAGGTTTGAACAGTGGTGGTGGGTGCGTACCATTGAAGAGTCTCAAACACTAGACTGACGAAACAGCTGTCTGGCAGTGCTCCCTGCCTAAATGGTTTTCTAATAGTTCTCCAACTGATGTCAGCTCATGATGATATCCTGTAACCAATCAAATCAATCTCCTGCAAAATCCAACACTTGAATTGCAACTCTGTTAGGAATCAAGTGAACTGGATCCTCTGATCCTCTTGCATATAGCACACAAAGCAAGAGAGTAAACTAAAAGAAATGCAAAACAGAGACAGTAAACAGAGATACGAGGCAAAAGGAATAGTAATATCGAAGAACAATATAGTTTCATTGGATATTCTAAGTCACAGGGAGATGATGCATCTGTGCCAGCCATTGAGAACTATTTTTCGGCCATATCACCAATTGTCTTCAGTCGTCATTAGGTGTTTAACGTAAGGGGGACCTCGATACGGAAATCTACACCTTCCTACGTGACTAGCTGTCTAGCTTAAACTAACTGTTGTGGATTTATTTCATTGACTTATGAAGCGATGTTTTGGTTTGACCACCACTGGCTAACTTTTTTCCAACATGATCCATCCTATGTCAGCTAGCATTGCCCATCGATTGAGGAAGTCGACGACTAGGCAAGGCATGTGTAACACATGTCCTAACCATCTACATCTATGCAGCTGCTTCACAGCCTCGTCTATTGATTTCCCCTCCCTCCTTACCTAGCACTCTATTATACGACTTAACATGGGAGATAGAACGCGGGCACTTATGATCATAGACTGCTGGCCGGCGTTTTCATATCTTCCGCTCTTAATGGCCATGTCTCACAGTCATAAAGCATTTTTTTTTCAGTAAAACTCCATTGTGTTTCGATGAAGAAGAAACCTATGCCTAAAAGGAAGAAGATATTTGCAAAGTGTAGTTACTTTCTAGATACAGGTCATTTCGTCAAGATTTCTGTATCTTTCAAAATATTAAGCAAACAAAGGAGAGCAAGCTGAATACGATTTATTGAAGCAATTACATACCAAACTTATGCATACAGAAAGAGAGTGTAATCAATCTCTCCCTCACTTTTTGATTACACTGATTAGTCATTCATATTAATGATTTCAACTCACTGAGCAAGTTTTCATCCTATAAAAAAATTTCTTGAGTTTCTATGTGAACCTACAAGCTAACACTGCTTGCGTATTTTACTGTTTTCTGTCTTCTCTCCCACCCCCCTTTCTTTTCTATTTTCTTTTGTAACGCTTATATTTCAGTTGCGTTAATTGTGTAACGTTTCCTCTATCACTATTCAAACTTTGAAGCATGTTGTTGTCACTTTTATTAACCACTGCAATTTCAGCTGATGAGTACTTATGGAATAGGATGATATCGTGTTATACCACACATATGGTCTTTCTTTCCCATCTTTATTTATTACCAATTTTACTTTCAAGTTTTATCAAGGACTGGGATCACTGGACAGCTGTTTCGTCTTAGTTTAGAACTCGTCGTCAGTACTCACCCGTCAGGTTTCGCACCCACCACCTTCCAGTTACAAGTCGAACTCGTACACTATTCAACTACTGAGACCTGACTCAGTGGCTCCTAACAATTCGTTGTTTTAGCTCGACTGCGAGCCGATATCACCAGTGAGTAATTGTTCTGACTCCCGAGCGGTTGTATTATTATTATTGTTTCCTTTAATTCCTACAGGAGCATAGGGATTCAGCCGTGCATCTCCATTGCGTTCGGTTCTCTGCTAGAGTCTTCACCTAGCTCCATGTCTGCCCATACGTTTTCATTTCCTCTTCACATGACCTCCTCCAAGTCACCCCACCCTTGCACTCACGACCAACTCGCTGCTTCCCTTTCGGGTTCCACTAGAGCGATGGCTTGTCTAGTGATGTCACTTGATGGTTTCCTCAGAGTATGGCCAGCCAATCCATCTCCATTTCTTCCTGTCTATTTGTTTCACAATCGGTTCCTGCTGTGTTGGTTCGCTCATTGCCAGAGATCTCTGTTGGTGATCTTTTCTAGCCGGCCATCTGATCTTGAGTAGTATTGAGCGAAGACAACTGTTGATGAAGGTCTGCAGTTTGTTCGAAGTGCTCTTCGAGACGCGACGCCAAGTTTCTGATCCGTATAGTAGCACTGACTTCACACTGGAGTTGAAAATCCGAATCTTATTTTTGATGCTGAGTAGTACTGTTTACCTCCTCCACACAGACTTGAGAGTATTGAAAGCTTGTCTTGCTTTTCCGATCCTCGCTGCTTTGATATCCTCGTCAGTTCTGTCCGCCTGTAGTTGTAACGATGCTTCCCAGGTAGGTGGGTAAAGGAGGTTGTTTCTTTCAGGTTCGTCCCATTTATGCTGATTGTTGTCTGTTGTTGTTGTTATTGTCCAGTAATCTTCATCACCTCTGTTTTCTCTATGTTCACCTGAAGTTTTATCTTCTCTGGATGCTTCTTCTGCCAACTGGTCCAACTGGAGCGGTTGGACCCCTCATATTACGAAGTCTCGCTACAAAGGCAGCCAACTTTGTCCTTTACCTTAATGAAGGCATGGCTCACTCTCTGAATCTAACGATGAGGGTAAAACTCCTCCTATGTGGATTAATCCATATGGTCAGCTTCATTTCGTCTTTCTTGTAAGGGATTTACGCGCAAATTAGCGCACAAAATATGCATAAATGGTTCTTAAAAGCTTAAAATGGTATCAACTCAGTAGGAAATTACAATTAACGCGAAATTCACTTACCCAGGTTAGATTTTGTAACAAATAAACCGAATGTACTATCCTGACTAGATTTTGATAAGGTGACATATCGTAGAGAACTTGAGGAATTAGAATTGGCGTGTACAAAGCCATTATCCCCGTCATTGTCATCTAGATCTTCATCTAACAAAGGTGCTGTTAAGGATGTCACTTGATCCGAAGGTACAAAGCACTGATCATCACACTGGGATTCGTAGTTGGTTTCATGAATATCTGGTGACTTTGAAGCGACTGAGGTAGATGTATTCGAAGGTTTCAACATATCACGTATAGTGCCCAAGGTACGTCTCGCAGATCGTCTAATGACATTTAACATATTAGGTTTTCTGTGATTTGGATTTTCACTCAGTCGGCTATAGGGCTTGGAAATCTTTGAACTTCCTGTGCTGTTACGACGAATAAATTGTTTTGTCACATTTTTAGTGAATTTGTTGTAGCATTTCATTGTAAGACTTCGTCTTTTGTTAGTAGGCGCTTGATGTGAACTGGAGTTGATATCGGAAGAGTTGACGGTGGAATTAATTGTTTCGTTAATGTGGATTGTTTCTGATGTATTTTCTGAGGATTTATGGTACCTTATAATTTTTGTAGGGTAAGTGAAAAACACATTGCAGTTTTTTAGCAGAATGTTGTCAAAAGTTATAATAGATATTATCATGGCACTATTTGTGGTGAGAGCTGTCTACTAGCCAAATTGGTAGACAGTAATTTACGTCAATATTTACGTTCCCAAGATTTGTCGTGAGAAAATGTGAACAAAGATTGATTCAAAACCGACCACAGCAGACTTTGCGTAGGCGGATTGCAGTTAACATATAGAGGATTTGACATTCGAGAAACAGTCACAAATAGATGAAAGACTGACTTTACGTAAGAAACAACCAATCGGAAGACTGTGTTTGTTTGCTTAAATATCCATAGGAATGTACATGAAAATATATATAAATATGCGTTGATTTCCTTAATAAACGATCTGTTGCCTGACTCTTGCCTTCTGTCGTTACATATGCACATGTACTGGATCAACTCAGCTAGGCAGGATAAATCATTCAATGGAACACGATGGACGGATAAAGATGAAATGTAGTGTCACAAAAGATTGACAAAAGACTCAAAGGAGCAGTAAAAAGAAGCTTCCACCTGCAGCTAAATTCATAACATTATACAGCCCCACTTCTTCTATAATCCACTCAAAACTGGATAAATACCCTGCTGATTTCACCTTCAACTGCGTATATGAATTAACATGCACTTGCGGGAGCAAGTACATTAGAAGGACAGAAAGAAGGGCTTCTATCCAGTTTTCTGAACATATTCTAAGAAACCTGTGCCTGAAAGGAAGCAAATATTCTCAAAGTGCAATTACCAGACATACTGTTGATACCGCGCATCTCGTAGAGATTTCTAAGTCCTTCAAAATATTGAATAGACAAAGGACAGCAAATTTACTACGATTTGCCGAAGCGATCGCAATCAAACGACTCAAACTAACCAGACTTATGCATACAGAAAGAGAATGCGATTAATCTCTCACTCCCTTGGTAATTGAATTTTGATTTTGATTACATTAATTAGTCATCTATTTCAGTGATTTCAACTCACTGAACAAATCTCAATCTTATAAACTGTAACTGCTTTTGTTTCTTGAGTTGCTGTGTGAAGCTACAGGCTAACATTGTTTTTAATTTTTGCTGTTTTCTGTCTTACCCCTCCCCCCTCTGTTCTACTTTGAAAACCTAAACTAAAAATTGTGATGCTTACATTTTGGATGCGTCAGTTCTACAGTATTTCTTCTCTACTACCACTCAAACATTAAAGTATGTTATTATCATCAAGTATATAACCACTGTAATTTCAGGTGGTGGTCTGCAGCTGATGAGAATCTGTGAAATAGAATGACGATATCATTTTATACTGCAGCAAATTTCGTCTTCCTTTCTCTATCGAAATTTAGCAGGGAAACCAAATGTTTGAAGATGAAATGTGTTGAGTAATTCTGGCAACCACACACACTCAGGAGGAAGGAATGTAGGGTGTAGAAAGACTTAATCTAACTGGCGAAGTATATTCCGTATCTTCATTACTGATGTTTAGTTATCCAATGCTCATAATATAACTCAGGCGCTTGGGATATCACCTAATTAGGAAGAATTAGGCTCCAATGAACTATGGCAACGAAACAACCAAGAAGCCGTTACCCGATAAATATGTTGGAAGAAATGAAGAGGAATTAGAAATACATTGATGCTACCATCAAGTGACATTACACCCCAGACCCTTGAGTCGAACCTGAATAGAAGGTGACGAGTTGGGTGTTCGTCCGGGTGTGACAAGGAGGAAATCATGTGTGACGTGGAGGAGATACAGATGAAAGTTTATGAGCGATCAAGCGATCAGCCAAAAGTAACTGTAGAAAACAGAGTAAGATGTGGTTGTGCGTCTGAAGCCCACCCCACACTCGGAACTTAATTAATTAACCTTGTAAATGTATATGCCACCGCATATGACGGTAAATTTCACTAAATTTCAACACATTATTCTACCCGGAGTTTCGTCCTATTTGGGACTCATCATCTGGATGTGCCTGCATTCCGCAGTGAGTCAGTGATGATGTTCCCACTGAGGCTCAAACCAAGTGTCCATAGTTTCAAACGCCAAAGCCTCGGTGGGAACATCATCACTGACTCACTGCGGAATGCAGGTACATCCAGCTGACGCGGTCCAATCAATCGATGGGAAAACCTGAAATTGAATTAAATCATTAATCTATCCGTTTGTCTCCTAATGGATACAGGGGGGATTTGTATCGCAAAAATAATCTTCTTTTGTGAGCACGCACTGATGAATAGTCTGAAGATAAGACGACACAGCTGTCCAGACCTCTCTGATGTTAGTTGGTCACCGAATACATACTGCATTAAATCCAGATGCCTACAAAAACCTGTAATCTAAATATTAATCTCCATCTGATTGGCGGCCAATTGACTGTTCTTCTGAATCTCTGGCGACAAGATGTGACCAGTGTTGTACATTGAGTCATTGAAGATATCGGTTGACAGTATTGCTGTCTCACGAAGTGACAAAATTAGGATTCACAGGTCAGTGAATTCCTGCCCAAGTGTTTGAATTGGTCCACATGGTTGCTCTTATAACCTGAAGATTCCAGATCCGACCTGTGTTAGAATCGTGGATGAACTCTGTTAACGAGTCCCTATCTAAGACGAAATAGATGCCAAGTACTATCCGAATTTAAATGAAATAAAATATATATGAATGATCATCTTACCCATTTACACGGTTAGGATATGATGTAATGGGAGAGCTGTCACTACATTTTCGTTTCGCTGGTGTCGATGTATCTATATAATAGAAAGATAAAAATGCTTGTAATCAATATTTTTTTAATACCAACCTCCCCATAATTTATAATATTTGGAATTATTCTATACAAGAACAAGATTCGGATTTTCAGAGATGTGAAGTCAGTCAGTTCTTCCATACGGGTCAGAAACTTCCACTGCGTGTGAGTCACGAAAAGGATTTTCAGCCAGTTGCAGACACTACCCACTTCGCTGGCTCCCGCCATACTCAAGATCAAATGGTCAACCGGCCAGAAAGAATTAGCAAGAAGAAACTGTGGCTGAAAACGAACCAATCAAGAGCTGAATACTCGACAAATATGTGGGAGAAAATGAATGTGGATCGGGCATACGTCTATGAGGCCGTCGAATGACATCGCGCGCAATGCAGGCTATCACACAAGTGAAAACCAAGTGGGAAGTGACGAGAGCGTGATCGATTCGAGGGTGACATTTTAGAGATGAAAGATTGTGGGCAACTGTGGTCCAAGCTGAAGAGGAGGGTAGAGAATAGAAGAAAGTGTTGATTTTTGTAGTTGACGCCCTACGTTCCACTTGGAACCCAAGGCAATAATAATAAACTATACAAGATTATTCCCCTTTTAGTCCATTTTGATTAGCTCAGTTTCTATGATGAATGTTTGCTAATAATAATAGTTGGAATACCTTCTGCATAAGTCCCGTGCTCATTGGCTTGCGTCATCGAGACATATCCTCCAAACGAACTAACTCTTATCTAATTGGCTGCAAATAGACCATTAGAAGTCATGACAAAAGGGAACTACGAAGCCAAATATCGTAAACTGATTGGAGTTGGGCTTCAAGAGCCTTCGGATTGGTTCCCAATGACTGAATTGTATGTGAACTGGCCTTGTAACTGAAGGGCTCTAGGTTCGAAGTTCGGTGGATGCCAACTGCTGCGGGAACACTTGTCCAGTACTTCTTACTGGTTTGCTAATGGTTCTCTAACTGATGTCAGCTTGCTGTAGAACTTGTACCTATTCAGTCCTTGCATACAAACACTTGATGCATTATCGTCAATGATATTCTTTATCGTGGTGGACTGGATTATGCGTCAGACTGTGAGGAATGAGGAGACTGGAATACACGGACAGGAAGTCTCTAGAAGATCTGGATTTCGCACATTGATGATTTATGTTTAATGTCACACAAACTCGAAGACTTGCAGGCAGGCGAAAACCAACAAACTGACAGAAGAGACGGGCAGCGAAAACAGAACTCTAGGTGAACACAGAGAAGACGGAAGTGATGAAGATAACCAACGAACCTCAGCAACAACAACAACAACCAGCACCAGTTATTATCGACGGGAGAGACTTAACAGAGGTTGCTTTCTTTTACTTATTTGGTCGGGAAGCGCGAGTTCAACCATAGGTAAACAGCAAGGATAAAGATGTCAAAGCCAGCCATGATCAGAAAGGCTAGATACGCCTTCGTCAACCTGAAACCAAATTTCGGAACCTTCTGCTCTCACTCAGTCAGCATAAATAACAAGACTCGGATTCTATTCAACACGAATATGAAGTCAGTCGGTCAGCCAGTTCTGCTGAACGGGCCAAAAACTTCAACTGAGCGTAAGTCATGAAAAGGATTTCCAACAAGTTACAGACCACCAACATCAACAGCTGCCCACTTCGCTGGCTGGCTCCATACTGAAAATCAAATGACCGGTCGTCCGGCCAAGCAGAAAGAATTAGTAACAAGAAACTGTGACTGGGAACCAACGGACTGGCGAGAACCGATCGCTCAACAAATATGTAGGGTAAAATGGAGATGGATCGGGCATACGCCACTAAGGAGGCCGTCGAATGACATCGGTCTCAATGCAGGTCATGCCTCGAATGGAATCCCGATGGGAAGCGACGAGTGGGTCGCCATAGGGTGAAATGGAGGAGATCTTGTGAGTTAGAGGAGGAGATGAGAGATTATGGTGAGTCGTGGATCTAACCAGGTGAAGAGGGCAGTAGAGAGTAGAGCAGAGTGGAGATGTGTTGTTGAAGCCCCATGTTCCACTTGGAACTCAGGGGCATAATAGTAATAACAATAATATTACAAACACTGGATAATCCTACTAAGAGGAATATTGTTACCAAATAAAACACACATATACATGTATATATCGCCAATGGCTTTGTTGAACAATATGTCAAGCTGAGGTTAGACCAACAATTTTTTGTCTGACCAAAGCAGAATTATCAACCACATGGAAATACCATATGCTTAAACGAGTACTTCACTTCTCTTTTCTTCTCTCTTTTCTTTTCGTTCTTTTATGTTCTCAAGCGACATTGTGTCTCAAACATTTTGAAGTTCCAGTAGCCGTGATGCATTTTTTTTCTATGGGGTGGGTAGGAGCTGGTTTCATATCGAATCTGTCCTCCGCTCCGAGCTCGCTAATACACAGTAAACCAGGCGGAGTTTTGGCGTGCGTCAGCAGAGGATGATACCCGCGTCACTTACATAGCTAGTGAGTATTTCACCACTGAATGCCCTAGTTCGGTAGTACTGTGGTGAGAGCTGTCTACTAGCCAAATTGGTAGACAGTAATTTACGTCAATATTTACGTTCTCAAGATTTATCGTGAGAAAATGTGTACAAGACTGATTCAAAAACCGACCACAGCAGACTTTGCGTAGGCGGATACAGTTAACATATAGAGGATTTGACATTCAAGAAACAGTCACAAATAGATGAAAGATTAACTTTACGTGAGAAACAACCAATCAGAAGACTGTGTTTGTTTACTTAAATATCCATAGTAATGTACATGAAAATATGTATAAATATGCGTTGATTTCCTTAATAAATGATCTGTTGCCTGACTCTTGCCTTCTGTCGTTACACTTCTTTACGGGCCAGAAACTTGGCGGGTGTGTCACGAAAAGGATTTCCAACAGGTTGCAGACTTTCATCAACAGTTACCAACTTCCCTGCCTGGCTCCTTCCAAAAGATCAAATGGTCAGCCAGAAAGAATAAGTAACAAGAAAGTGTGGGAACAAATCAACAGACGAGAACCGACAGCTCAACAAACATGTAGGAGAAAGTGGAGATGGATCAGGCATATGCCACTGAGAAGGCCGTCAAATGTAAACCATGCGAAGTTTCGTCGTGCGTCGGCAGAGGATCATACCCGCGCCACTTACGTACCTAGTGAGTACTTCACCAGTGAATGCCCTAGTTCAGTAGTAGTAATAATACCAAAATGGAAAAAAACTACAAATATTTTTAAAAATTTAGCCACTTACCGTCAGTATAATCGATAATTCGTTTAACTCCTGCAGATACTGGTGTAACATCAGCACCGACCCGCCTTCTAACTCCAGGATCAGTACAAGTGGCATCATTTTGACACGGAGATAATGCACAAAACGGAGAGGATGTCAATGGTAAACACACTGGGGAATTCAGCTGTCGCGTATCCCAGACTGAGTGTCTTCTGCCATTCTCACTATTACCGGTTGTATTATTATCGTTGGTAAATACAGTCTGTTGATTCGTTACCCTAGAAACCAGAAAGACGTGGTTAATAAAAACACACAGTTATTCAAATTTTGGTTTCTTTTTAAACTAATGAATTCTTGCCTGGTAGCCTTAAGCTTCCAATTTCGATCAGTGACTAGGTCATAGGTGAGTACTGCTGAGGGAGCTCCAAAAGTAGGACGAAGCAGATATCCAGTCCTTCTTGGTTTCCAATGGATCTCTTACCTAAATCGTTTCGTCATATAACTTTAATTCTAATTTAAGTCTTTATAGGTAATGCATTCATGTAAATAAATAGTTAGATGGCTTGAAAACGTTAAGTGTTACAAGCTTGATCAGGGATTGATATCAGTTAGAGAACCACTCAAACCCAGTGAGTACTGGAAAGTTACTCCAGTCTAGTTTAAGACCCTTCAGCAGTACAAATCCACCAGGTTTCGAACCCCCGACCTACTGGTTATAAGGTAAGCTTGTAGACCTTTCAGCCACCAGCGATCCGATCCAGTAGTCCATGAAGTCCAATATCTATCGATTCATACTTCACTAGGTAAACCTTACAGGTGAGGGTAGTGGGTGTGTAATTCCGAAGAGTCCAAAACTGGGACGAAACAGTTATCCAATACTTCCTAGTTTCCAGTGATTCTCTCGAATCTTGGAGAAAAGCAAATCCTTCAAAAACAAACATTAGAAAATGTAATATTTGTCAAGTAAGTACCAGATTCATATTCTAATTCATTTCATTAGAAGTCGGTAATAGTCACAGCTTTCCACAAATTTACATTCACACAACCATTGTACACCTTTAGAGGAACATTTTGATGGAAAAACTGTCTTCTGTCATCCTATGAAACAAATATGCTGCATACCTTTGGTCGCACAAATTGCATTTTTATTTCGCGTGATCATTATACTAGCATGGTTCCCATTGGACTTATAACAGTAGTTGGAGACAATCGGCAGGAAGCCTTGGACACCGCCTAGGTTTCGTGCTAGTTGGCACTCACCAGTCAGCAAGGCGGCGTATCTGCAGCCTCAAAGGAACTCATGTCCCTTCTGAGATTCGAACCCGCGTCACCCAGTACCGCCTGCAGTCAGAGACATTACCACTGATGCTACTTGCTGATGAGTTCCAACTAGCACGAAACCTAGGTTTGGGCAAGGCTTCCTGAAGATTGCCTCCAATCATATAATACCAACAATCTACAGTGCACTATGATGGCGAGCCACCTAGTAGCATGGTGAAGGAATTGCAAGCTTGACTAATAGAATTCAGTCTGCACCGAATTTGGGACTAAACACATTACACTAGTTACTGACTAACGTCCAGTCAAAAGCAGTTTGAGTGTTAGTCAACTGAAGCAAGGTGGACGGATGTTGTGGTATCTGTCATTATTATTAGTAGTAATTGTTATAGTTACTGTAAAAATAGTATTTGTCCTTATACCTAACTATGTGGACCTTACAGGTAAGAGTATTGGATGCGTATTTCTAAAGAGTTCAAAATGGGACGAAACACCTGTCCAATACTTCCTAGTTTCCAGTGATTCTCTTGAAACTTGGAGAAAAGCAAAGCCCTACAAACGCAATGGGTGTCGTCATTATTATTCATTATTATTGTTATTCTAATAATAATAGTAGAGAGGAAACGTTAAAATTCACCTGATTTTCGTAAAACTAACTTACTGTGTAAATTGACAAACATTTTCATAATGTATAGCGTGTTTAGCTTTTATTGGTCGTCTTTTAGTCGGTATCATTTTATTCAGAAGTAGC